TGTTAACACAATGCACAGTGTTCCTTACTTTTTTTTTTTAAGATTTTATTTATTTATTTGACAGAGAGAGACACAGCGAGAGAGGGAACACAAGCAGAGGGAGTGGGAGAGGGAGAAGCAGGTTTCCCGCTGAGCAGGGAGCCCGATGTGGGGCTCGATCCCAGGACCCGGGGATCATGACCTGAGCCAAAAGCAGACTCTAACGACTGAGCCACCCAGGCGCCCCTGTTCCTTACTTTTCTTAACTTAATAATCAACCCTGGAGAATCTATATCAGTATCCAGAGAGCTGCCTCATTCTTTTTTTTTTTATTTAGATTTATTTACTTATTTTTTTTAGAGAAGTGAAGGTTTCACAGCTCACCAGTAGCAGAGCTGGGATGTTACTCCAGGCAGCTGATTGCCAAAGCCTATTCTAATCTTCAACTCTGGGCTACTTTTTAGGGTTATTGTGAAGACAATGTATATAAAAGGCTGGCACACAGTGGGTACTCCTGTTATATTTATGGTCATAAAACCTGCCCACACCTTACCTTCTGCCAAATTTAGAATCAATTGGATCAAAAATTTCTTAGGGACAGGGTGATTAGAAGCAGTGTAAGAGATACGTATTAACCATGTGGGTTCCTTGTTTGGGCAGGTTTTCCTGTGCGGAAAGCCAGGTACCAGTGGGTACGCTGCAGTCCTGATAGTAATTCTGCAAACTGCATTGATGAAAAGGGACCGATGTTCAACCTACTTCCAGGGGAATCCAACAGAATCCTTCCTCCGAGGACCGATCCTTCTTCGTAAGTGAACTTTCTCTGATTTTACTTTCACCAACCTCTGTTGAGATCTTGGCTTGGAAATGGGAGTGTTGTCCAGAGTGTGTTTCTTCAGTATCTTGCTTTGATGGTTTGGTTTTCACTACACAGGACATGGTAAAGCAGTACTGTGTTTAATGGCATAGGAGGTGTGCAAGAATGCATGATTCATCTATACTTTTGCAAGGTCTTTTTGTGGGGGCAGAGACAAAAATTGAGTACTTTTCACCAACAAGTATTGGAAATGATTGGACATCATTCTACTTATGTAAGTAGAGCATATTATATTATACATTGAAATCCAATAGGAGTCTGTCAACTGAATGGATAAACAAAACATAGTGTTTCCCTAAAGTGGATTATTATTTGGCCAAAAGAAAGGACAAAGTACTGATACATGCTATCACATGGATGAATCCCGAGAACATTATGCAAAGTGAAAGAAACCAGACACAAAAAGCCACATATATTGCATGATTGTATCGATATGAAATGTCCATAGAGGTGGGAAATAGAGGAGTGGTCACTGGGGGATGGAGGAGAGAGAGGAATAGAGTGGGGAGTACAGGTATGGGATTTTTGAGGGGTGATAAAAATGTTCTGAGATTAGATGGTAGTGATTAAAAAAGAAGAAATTAGGGAAAGGAAGAATAAATGGCCATGACTTGTCAAAGAGAAAGCCAAACCTCTTCTTGATCAAATCAAACCTGCTTTAACCTTGCAAAAAAGATCCAACAGGAATTCATAAGTAACCAAAATGGAATTGTCTTAGAATCAATTATTTCAATGAATATCAAAGTTATATAACATGCAGCAAAACTGTATTATGTAAAGGATTATCTTCAAAGGATTAATCCTTAGACTTAGAAGATTAAACCTAGCAAATCACTCTCCTCGAAGCCAGGGTAAATCATCATGCCCACACCAGGTAAGACCAGCATCCCTCTGAGGGTCCCGGCGACTCTCTTCATCCCTGGCATTCACTGCATGAGATGATGTCATCACCACCGTCAAAATGCCACTCTGCCATCCTGCTCCTGTCTTCTGCTTCTAGCCTGAAACGGATTTTATAGCATCCTCCATGATTTTAACTCATAGGTTTCCATAGTAATTCATTTAAATCTAAAATGTTAGAGGAATAACCCAAGTTCTCCAAAACAACTATTTTATACCATTTCTTCTCTTAAATCTCTTTGATCTTCCCCTTTCCTCGGGCAGGAAAGTTTTCTTCTTACTGTCACACTCCTGTCCTTTATGAATGAACAGTCCCTGCTCTTGTATCGGTCCTGGACCCATTTGCCCTCCTATCCGTCTTTCTTTTCCCTTCTTGCTCTGTATTGGGCTCATCCCATGGTCTGCCTTTCTCAGGCTCCCAGGTCTGTGGCTGAGTTTGGCCAATGGAAGGCACAGGAGGGAGGCGGGGGGGAGCATGGGAGGCAGGGAGAGACCAGGATGTTTCTTGTCAAGTCCTGCCTTGGGTGGCATCTCTGGCAGGGCCGTCTCTCATCCATGGCTTCAGCTCCCTCCAGATGCTGGGCTCAGGTAACACCACCTTCTTCCATTGCCCCTCTAGCCCAGAGAGAGAGGTATTTCCTTACTGTCGCTCATCTCTGGGGTCCTCGCTCTCCTCTAGTTGGCTTTAATTCTCTAGACGTCAGTTCTGCAATTACTCCTCTGAGCCCAGTATCTTCTTCCCATTGGTGTGCAGACATTCTCTAGCATCTTGTACCGTTGGGTAAAATCTCTTCTTTGACTCTGCATCCTTTCCAGCCCTTGCCCTGTTCTCTGCTCCTCTTCACAGGAACACTTACTGAAAGGGATGCTTCCTGTCTTCCCCACCCCTCTACCCCTTCTGTTTGAACTTCCGTTCCCACCTTCCACTCAGAGTCCTTGTTAAGGTCACAGTCACTCCTGCTTAACACATCCACTGTTTACTTCTTTGCTTCTCTCCTTACTCAACTTCTTAATTACCTTCAAAAACAGTTGCCCCCCCCACCCCCCCCGCTTTGAAATGCTTTCTTCTCTGGGCTTCCTTGGTCCCACCTTATCTTGAGTTTTCTTCTACTTCCCTGATTGTTCTTTCTCCTCCGTTCAATATTTAATATGTTGGTGAGGCCCTGGTTCTGTCCAGGGCCTATTCTCTATCTGCATGCTTTTTTTAGGTGACCTCATCCTTTTTATGGCTTCTATTGTGTGTGCGTGCATATGGAAACTACCAATCTGTGTTTCCAGCTCTGATCCCTTTTCCCTGACCTCACAGTCTAAACTAACCCCCTGGTCACCCTCTATTACATTAGTCTATTTTACTTCTCTGCATGGCATTTAGCACCGCCTCATGTTTTCCTGATTTATTCACTTTTCATTGTCTGTCTTCCCCAACAAGTTATACATTTCTTCAGCAGGGACCTCATCTGTCAGTTCCCATTCTATCCCATGCACTTAGAACAGGGATCAGATGTTAAATATTTACTGAATGCACACATGAATGAAGCTCTAATCTGTTATATGGTCTGTGGTTCATTATTTTCATGGAAAAAAATGACCCATAGACTATGAAACTAAATTTTTGTCTCTGATACTTAGTTGCCTTGTTCTGCCACTGAGGGGTAACACCATTGCTCTGGTCTTTGGTGCTGAATGGACTTCTAACCACCAAACTGAACCCAGCTGAATGAATGCACTTACTTTCTGAGAGGAAATTGAATTAGTTAATTGTGGTAAACATAATGCTTAACTTGTTACAAAGAATTTCTTAAGAATGAGTTTTGTTGAAGCACTGTGAATTATCAGAAGTTTTGCAGAAATTTTAAATTAGAAAAAAATGTCATCTATCTAGGCTAACTTACACTTGTTTGTCCTTTCTTTAATGGAAGAAAATGGGAAAGGCGGGCACCTGGGTGGCTCAGTTGGTTAAGCGACTGCCTTCTGCTCAGGTCATGATCCTGGAGTCCCGGGATGGGGATCGAGTCCCGCATCGGGCTCCCTGCTCGGCGGGGAGTCTGCTTCTCCCTCTGACCCTCCTCCCTCTCATGCTCTCTGTCTCTCATTCTCTCTGTCTCAAATAAATAAATAAAATCTTTAAAAAAAAAAAAAGAAAATGGGAAAGGCATCTTAAAAAAAAAAAAATGACCCCTTAAGTAAATTTACCAAGTATAGGATTACTATGCTAGTGATAAGAAAAGTAGCACTATTTATTGTGAATCTGCAATGCATAGATGTTGATTGATAAATGCAATGAGTGAAGTACAACAGTATAGGGAAACATGTAGAAAGGTATGATTTGTTTTTTGTTTTAAAGCATTGAATAACTGGGAAACTTCTAACTTTTAATTTGAGCAACCGGGTAGCTACATTAATTTTCTATCTTAAAAAATTTATTATGATTATCTTCCTTATGTCTCAAACTTTACTGGTTGTTTTTTTTTTTTTCCTTTCATTTTTCTGTCTTACTTCAGAATGACAAGATCCCAGAACTTGAATGATGTCTTCCCTCTTTCGGAGGACTATTTTGGATCTGACTCGGGATCAGGATCTGGAAGTGGCTCTGGAAGTGGCTTCTTAACTGAAATTGAACAGGAATACCAACCAGTAGATGAAAGCAGTGCGTTTTATTACAAATTTAGGCCTCTCAAGATAAATCTGCCATCAGACAACCAGGACTTGGTCCAAGATGGACCGGAAGGGGATTTTATTATGTGAAAGAGAGGGTTTCCCATCTTGATGTCAGGCAACGCATTCAATATATTTTATGTATCATAGTTAAGTGATTAATTTTGGAACAAAAGGTTTTATAGAAATTTTAAAACATCTGAAAAAGAAGTTTAGGTTTTATCACCTTTTTTTTCTCATGAATTCTGAAAGCTTCCTTTATCCTGTTGTCCTGGAAGATACCTATATTTCCTTTGTATCATATTCAACCAACGTCACTATGAAATTAATTGGACCACCCATGTCTATAAAATTGCTTTAAAGAATAAATTATACTTTTTTTTTTAAAATTCAGTTTGAGAAGCAAATTGACAGGCAATATTTCATATCTAAGTCTTCAGAAACCTGACTCTGATTGTGAATTATAGATATGCCTCTTTTCTTATGAAAAACCCAGATGAAACACATGGTGAATTTAGAGTGGGTGTAAAGTGTCCAGTGTAAAGTGTATTGCTCTAATATTACCATTGGATGTGTTTGCAGAGCTGGTGGACATTGTTTGTTGAGAAGTATGATTGCTGTTACAAGTAGAAACTGAAGACCCAAATTAAAGCCCAATTGTGCTCTCAATACTTCCTACTGCTTTACTTTTTTTCCTGGATATCTGTGTATTTTCAAGTCTTACCCTATTAAAGGAGAACTAAAATCAATGTGTTATGCTGTCTGGGATCTCTTGTTCTAAACTCAGGAAATAATTATTTTTATTCGGATGTTTCTAGAAGTCTTATCAACAATATCTGTAAGATTATTTTACAGAGCAAATTTTGTAGCTAGAATCAAATCCTATTCACTAGCAAATCAAGAAAACAATTATGGTAGAGCAAGAAGCTTATTCTGGCCCAAGCACTTCCTCTTCTTGAGGGCTTTTCCCATCTCGGTTCCCCTGAGTTCTGAAAAGCTTGTCAGCATCATTGTCATGAATCCTGTTTTGCATGGTCCAGATCACCCCTTCAGCACTGAGGACTTATTCAAATCAATCTCTGCTGAAAAGAGCCACCTTGTCCAAGGCTACACCCTTTCCCAGGGCAGCCTGCATCTAATGACTGGTTGGTGTGGACATATGAATGCCGGACGCTTCCCCTGAACTTGGGGTAATTCAGAAGGGCCATCGCAGATTTTGAGCTCCCTGGGAGGTCAGCCAACACCTCGTTGGGACTGCTTTGCAGTGCAGTTTCTTCCTTTACTTAGTCTTGCTTCCTTCCATTCCCCTTCCAGATATCTATCCTGAGAGAGCTCCCTTAGAACTTTCTGCATGGCTCCATGGAGAATCCACCCTGTGACAGTTGGTGCTAGGAGGGGCAGAAAGCAGATGCGATAATGGAATTTGGGGGGCACTGGGGTGGCTCAGTCAGTTAAGCGTTTGCCTTCAGCTCAGGTCATGATCTCCGGGTCCTGGGATTGAGCCTCACTTCGGGCTCTCTGCTCAGTGGGGAGTCTGCTTCTCCCTCTCCTGCTGCCACTCTCCCTTGTGCACGTGAGTGCGCTTGCTCTCTCGCTCTCTCTCTCTGTCAAATAAATATGGAGCTAGATCCCCTGCTTCCTAGCTGGCAATGAGGACCCCATCTCTGGCCGTAGATGCAGCACAGTCACAAGACAGGATTACAGTTGTTGACATTTTCAGATGATGGACTGGGATGGTATACCTGTGTGAGGAAGGGCACCAGGGTGCAGTGTATGAGGCATTGAGAAATGTGAGAAAGTAGTAATTATAAAGACAATAGTATTGGATGGCTATTGCTGGAAGCAATGAATACTTTTAAAAGAGACAATGAAAAATGGAGGATGATGAATTAAAGGCTAACTGTGAAAACAAATGGGCTTCCCCCCACCCCCACCCCCACAGCTTTTAGGCACGCCTCAGAGACCCTGCAGGTCGGTTCCAGACCACCACCATAAAGTGAACAGTGCAATAAAGTGAGTCGAATGAATTTTTTGGTTTCCCATTCCATATAAGAGTTATGTTCAACTATACCATAGCCTATTAAGGATGCTATAGCATTGTGTCTACAAAAACAGTGTACATACCTTAATTTAAAAATACTTTATTGCTGGGGGACTGGGGTGGTTCAGTCGTTAAGCGTCTGGCTTTGGCTCGGGTCATGATCCCAGGGTCCTGGAATCGAGCCCCGTATCAGGCTCCCTGCTCCGCGGGAAGCCTGCTTCTCCCTCTCCTGCTCCCTCTGCTTGTGTTCCCTCTCTGGCTCTGTCTCTCTGTTAAATGAATAAATAAAATCTTAAATAAAAATGCTTCATTGCTAAAAAATGCTAACCATCCTCTTTCAGAGAATTATAATCTTTTAGCTAGTGAAGTGTCCTGCCCTGATGTTGATGCCTGCTGACTGACCGGCTTGCTCAAGGTTGGGGTGGCTGCAGCAATTTCTTAAAATAAGACAATTTTGCCACATTGATCGATTCTTCCTTTCATGGTTGATGTCTCTGTAGCATGTGATGCTGTTTGATAGCATTTTACCCACTTCTTTCAAAACTGGAGTCCATCCTCTCAAGCCCTGCCCCTGCTTTAACTGAGTAGATGTAATATTCTAAATCCTTTGTTGTCATTTCAACCATCTTCACAGCATCTTCACCAGGACTAGTTTCCATTTCCAGAAACCACTTTCTTTGCTGATCCATAAGAAGCAACTCCTCAGCTGTTCAAGTTTGGTCATGAGATTGCAGCCATGCAGCCCCAGCTCCAGGCTCCACTTCTAGTTCTCTTGCTGTTTCCAGCACATCTGCAGTTACTTCCTCCACGGAAGTCTCCAACCCCGCGAAATCATCCATGAGGGTCAGAACTAACTTCTTCCACATCCCTTTTCATGTTGATATTTTGACCACTTCCCATGAATCATGAATGTTCTCAATAGCATCTAGAATGGCGAATCCTTTCCAGAAGGTGTTCCATTTACGTTGTGCAAATTCATCAGAGGATCACTATCTATTGCAGCGATAGCCTTAAGAAATATAGTTGTTTAAATAATATGACTTTCAAGTCTAAATGACTCCTTGATCCAGGTCTGCAGGATGGATGTTGTGTGATGCATGAAAATAACATTAACCTCTTTGTATATTCATTCCATTAGAGCTCTTGGGTGACCCGGTGCATTGTCAATGAGCAGTAACATTTTGAAATCTTTTTTTCTAAGCAAGTAGGTCTCAACAGTGAGCTTAAAATATTTAGTAAACCATGTTGTAAACAGATGTGCTATCATCTAAGCTTTGTTCCATTTATAGAGCACAGGCAGAGCAGGTTTAACATAATTCTTAAGGGCCCTAGGACTTCTGGAATGGTGAATGAGCCCTGGCCTCAACCTAAAGCCACCAGCTGCATTAGCCCCTAGCAAGAGAATCAGTCGGTGCTGTGAAGCTCTGAAACCAGCCATTGACTTTCCTCTAGCTATGAAAGTCCTAGATGGCATCTTTTTCCAGATCACTGTAACAAATATATAATAATGAAAAAGTTAGAAATACCGTGAAAATTACTAAAATGTGACACAGAGATATGAAGTGAGCAAGCACTGTTGAAAAAATGGTGCCAATAGATGTGTTCAATGCAAGGTTGCCACAAACCAATTTCTAAAAAACACAATACCTGCAAATTGCAAGAAAGTGAAGCACAATTAAGATGGTTATGCTTGTATTAAGAGGCTCTCTTCTGCAGTAGAAGGGTAGAAATAGCTGAGGACCAGGCCCATGATGTAATCTGAAGACTAGCAGAGTTCAAGAACGTTAAATTGTCAACCTAGCCAAGTCTGTTCCCCGTAAAGTCAGGGCCCTGATTAGGAAAAAATGGGACCCTGAGAGAGGACATCTAGATTGATACATTCAGATCTCGATGCCCCAGGTTCCCTCAAGCCCTCTGAACTTAAGAAGAGGCCCATTCCTTAAGAACCAGTGCTTTCCTCTGACTTGAAGATGATGAAGAGGCGTGTGCCCTCAGTACCACATGGATGGTCCCTCAGGGTCTATCCCGAACATCCCTCCTAGCCATGAGATCAATAATTAAGGTTACAATAAAAATGAACAGGGAAACATCGGGCCTGCTAAGAAAGAAAAGTAATACACTCTGAAGGTTCTGCAGAACCCAGCCATCATGTACCTCAGCAACTGAGAGAGTGTCTATGGAACTTAATTCTAAGAGTGCTAGAATAAGGGATAGAAGTAAAACATAAAGTAGGATCAAGTAGTGTTTACCATTATAGAAGTACTATTCTGGGATACAAGTTTTAACACCCTGGCAAGAACTCCAGGAGAAGGTGTTGATGCACTGCTAAAATGGCTCTTAAAAGCTTGAAGAAAGTGACAACCCTTCTCAAGTGGAGTGGCAAGTCACACACACACATATGCACACACTAGCACATTACTCAGTTATAAAAAAGAAGGAAATCTTGGGGCTCCTGGGTAGCTCAGTCAGTTGAGCGTCTGACTCTTGGTTTCAGCCTCAGGTCATGATCTCAGGGTTGTCGGATCAAGCCCCATGTCGGGCTCCATGCTCAGTGAGGAGTCTGCTTGGAATTCTCTTTCTCTCCCTCTCCCTCTGCCCCTTCCCCACTTGTGCGTGCCCTCTCTCTCTCTCAAATAAATCTTTTTTTAAAAGGATTTATTTATTTGAGATGAGCATGAGCAGGGGCAGAGGGAGAGGGAGAAGCAGACTCCCTGCTGAGTAGGGAGCCTAACATGGGACTCCATCCCAGGACCCTGGGATCATGACTTGAGCTGAAGGCAGACATTTAACTGACTGAGCTATCCAGGTGCCCCTAAAATAAATAAATCTTAAAAAAAAAAATAGAAGAAGAAATCTTGCCATTTGCAACAACATGGATGGATCTAAAGGGTATTATGCTAAGTGAATTTGTTAGAGAAAGACAAAAACTGTATGATTTCACTTGTATGTGGAATCTAAAAACAAAACAAAACAGAAACAGACTTACAAACGAGGAAAACAAACTGGTGGTTGCCAAAAGGAAGTGGGTAAAAGGATGGGTGAAATAGGTGAAGGGGATTAGGAAGTACAAACTTCTAGTTATAAAACAAATAATTCACGTGGATATAAAGTACAGTGTAGGGAATATAATCAATAATATTGTAATAACTTTGTAAGGTGACAGATGATAACTACATTTATTGTAGTGAGGATTTCATAATATATACAAATGTTGAATTGGTATGTTGTACACTTGAAACTAATATAATATTGTATGTAAACTGTACTTCAATTAAAAATATATGTATTGTTGGGGTGTTTGGCTGGCTCAGTTGGTAGAGCATGATCTCTTGATCTCGGGGTTGTAAGTTGGAGCCCAACATTGGGTGAAGAGATTACTTAAAAATAAAATCTTAGGGGCCCCTGGGTGGCTCAGTTGGTTGAACGTCTGCCTTCAGCTCAGGTCATGATCCTGGGGTCCTGGGATCGAGCCCTGAGTCGCCGGGGTGGGGGGGTCCTTGCTCAGCGGGGAGTCTACTTCTCCCTCTCCCTCTACCTGCCACTCCCCCTGCTTGTGCGCTGTGTGTGTCTGTGTCAAATAAATAAAATCTTTAA